TTCAAATATCGAAACATGTGCAATGAAAGTCTGCACCTTGAATGCATTCATCTTCATCCTTTTCATAGCACAACTACAAAAGAAATAAACTAACTTAAATAATAATTAAACTTAGAATAAAATAGCATAAAGTAACTTAAAGCAATTGAACCCAATATAATTAACTTAAATAAAATAAATAATTAAAAATAACTAATACTTAAACTAAATCTTAAGAACTTATACAAAATACATCTAAAATTGTGATCAAATAACCATATAAAATAGAGTTATCATACTTCCCCTCAATATACAAATTAAATGTGCTATTTTAAAATAGAATTTTTAAATATTTTAATAATAAGTATAATTTAAGTGAGTTGGTAGAGTCGAGCTCGAACCTAGCTTATGCTTTAGAGATGTCAACTAATCCTAACTTGTGGACACCTCTATTTCAAACCATTAAATAAATAATATTGATGTTAACAAAATAAAATAAACCTTGCACTCATGAAAGCTACATATATCACTTTTAGATGAGCTAACTCTCTTCATTCCGCTTTGTTTATAGCATATTTCTGTTTCGTTCTTTGTGTTTTATATATACGAGGAAATGAGTTGCCTCATTCTATTGGGCTATTTGGCTTGTTGGATAGTGATACAAAGCTAATCTTAGAAATTAATGAGGATTACCAAATAGAAAACATTAATCAGGATTGCCAAAGAACTTGGACACGTTATACAAAGACTAAAAAATTAATCAAGTCAAGTATTCAACCATAAGAAAAATATTGATGATGACTCCTATTTTCATCAAGGCCTTCAGGTTTTTGAACCCACGCATGCTTTGCCTTTATAGCTGTCTTTTATATGAGTTTTTACTGCATAAAGTTGTATGTTGTAATTCACCAGTCTAGAGAAATAATTCAGGAATTAAGTTAAGAGTTCCTTATATTCTTTTTTCTAATCTGTTTTTTATTTTCTGGTTTGTTTTTTCGCAATCTGTTAACGACGGACTAGCTGGTTTAATTTAGTTAAACTATTTTGTTTCACAGGAGTGTGTTATATTTCTAAATTTGTCTTTTGGAGACTGTCTCGGTGGTTGGAAGAAAAAAGATTTCTGCTTCATTGTAAATAAGAGAATTTATAAAGGTAGGTGCAATTCGATTTAATACTATGTATATGTCGCTGAAAGAGATATTTAACATTCAAAGAGATTCAAATGCACACTATTCAATCATTACAGTACACATGGTAGATTAGGGCCAGGAAAGCAGCACAAGCACAATCACAATCACAAATTATTCTTATTCTAGGGTGTAGCCACATGCTTAAACCTTCAATAAGAGGACTATTAATGTGTTTTCAGTCTCAGAATGATTTTAGCCCCGGCACCAATTCCAAGCTTATTAATTATGCAATCATCTTCTAGCCGTACTCTGTTGTACGAAAGATCTTGTCTTTGTACTTCATAGTAATATTTTGTGTACACTTTTTGTTTGAGTTGTCGAATGGTTTCATTAACAGATACGGGCAGTTTGTGCTCTGTTGATGTCTCATCGTTGCGTTGGAGAACAACATAGACTTCTATAGCCTGTTAGACGTTAATATACACATTCAGCATTTTAGAAATGGTGGTATAGTTAAAGATTGGATAATGAAAAAGAGCGGCTAATGAACTTGTACATGCAAGTATCAATGCACCAGGACAAAAAACGGTTAGCAATATATATATATAAACACAGAATAGTTGTTACTTGATGTTTTTTCTTAACATGGACTTAATTTATTATAGGTTTTTATTATAACCTATAAGGTTTAAAATATTTAAATTTAATTTCTCTAAACTTGATCATATTTATTTGAAGTGTAGCACTTCTTAACAGGTATGAGATTTCAAAAAGGCATATTTAAACTCATGTTACACAAAAAATTTTGCCATGTAAACGAATCTTTTTATTGAATTACCCATACGTAATTATAGTAGCATTTTATATGTTTTCTTTCGATTTATATTTGCAATTGTATAAAAAAACATTGCAACTCAAACCTATCATCTTTAGCCAATTGATTCAATATATACTTATCATTGATTCAAATGGCTTTTATACTTCATTCATGTAGATACACATGTACACACATACATAGTCACACACAATTTTAATAATTTTCGGATCACTTGAATAAAAATTTGGAAGAAAATGAAAATCCATAATGACTTTATACAAACAGATATACAAGCTATACTATTGAAATATTTTCCTTTAAACAAACAGTATAAGAACGGTTTAAAAAAGGAAATGTATGTATCTAATGTATGTTATAATTTTTGCATTAACTCGAGCAATGAATGATAAAATTAAAACAAAAAGGAAAAACCTCAAGCAGTAGAAAAACATGGCCACAGTTTTGTATTTTTGAAACACAAATAGAAAACAGTATAGGATAGAAAAAGAAATCTACCTTAGGTTCATCTTTTCTATGCTTTCCTCCTATCTTCTGTCGACTTGGTTCCCCAAAAGAAGGGACTTTTGTATCCTGTTAATCGTTACCAAAATTCAGATTCAGCAT